GAGATAGGACCATTCTTCTAGATCTAAAAGTATGATCCAATTAGCGCGAAGGAAACTTCCAACAGTTGCAAAACAAACGTTTTACTGAACGCAGCCAATGTAAAACTAGAGTCCTTTATTTATATTTAAAAATTATATTAATTAAAATATTTCATTATTACAAAATATAACAAAATTATTCAATATTATAAAATATAACATAAAAGAAATTAATAAAAGAAATTAATTCATTCAGTAAAAACAAAGAATGTAGGCATTTCCCAGGGTTGAAAGTAAAATTTATTTTTACTTTAATTATTATTTACAAGCTCTATTTCTTTCCTAGATATATCACTTTTTTGCTCTCACTGCATCGACGCGGCCTTCAGTTTCTTCATTTCTTTAATCACTACGTCTACTTCGCGTGCAGTAGGTCTTAGAGTTGATAAATAAAAAATAGGATCCTTTTTCCACAAAATATTTTTATCTCCTAACTTGTTATTATATCCTTTAACGTACTTATGTCCAGGTACCTGTAACAAGATCATAATAATTACATATAACAATCCTTTAAGGGGAGGTTCTACTTTGGAGGGTAAAAAAAATCGATTTTCTTTGTTTATATTTTTTGCATCTCTGAAGTGTGTAGAATATGCCTGTAAAAGGATATTGCAATATTCAAAACGTTAAAGCAATTTATGACTTGTTGAATCAGATTTTGCACCAGTCAAAAATCAAGTGAGTTCTACAGTATTAAATAGCAAAACAAGCAAGAATCGAAAGAAGAAGGTCTCAAATGCAGCAAAATTTGTTTTTCGAACAGAGGAGAAATTCAATTCGGTCGCTCTTAGCTGGGGGAGGGGGGGGGGAGGGAGGTTGAAAATCGCTTCGCGTGGATAACCATTACATAAGTAAGGAATGGTATGAAATAATTTTTAATATTATATATAGCAGAAATAAGACGTTATTTTTTCTAATTTTTTGGTAATAACTTTTTAATGGATAACGAGCGACGGCTAAAATCTCTTGTTGGAGATTACTCAGGGTTATAACCTTGACAACATATGCCAAAGTTATCAAAGGTGTCCCTTAATGCAAGGTTTACCGAAAAAAAACATTCAATCATGCAAGTATAATTTGACGTTCCGACTATTATTGTTCATTGTCCGAAAAAATATTGCAAGACATGCGGTTTTTAGAATTGGAAGAAAAAAGTAATTTTTTATATACCGACATTTATAACCTTAAAAAGTTTTATTACGTTTTAAAGAATTTAACAACACATCGATGTAACCGACTTATAATGCGATTTCCATTTTTATTTAATTGTTTTGTTTGTACTGAAGATGACCTAATACAGAATGTTTGTAAATTTGTATTAACTGAATTATTAAAATATTTAAAATTTAATTATTAGCACTCAACAGCTTTGATTCAGAGCCTTTTATTTTTTTAATATTGTTTATTTAATTTTTGGAAATTTTCTTACTATAGTATTTTGATTTACAAATTTTGAGACAACCTATATATACACATACGTACCATTTTCATTGCTTCATACTTTTCTTCCATTTCTTCAGCTGTGTAGTGCAATTCTGGTACTGAATATTCGTTTCTCCAATAGTCTAAATGTAAGAAATATCGATTTTCATAAAGTTTCCTTTTACTTCGAAGTTCCTGAACGTTTTCGAATCTCCAATCAGACATTTTTTTAGCTGTTTTATCGTAATCAAAATTAAGCATTTCAATATCCTCGACTATGGAAGAAATATCTCCCTCGTTTGTCCAGTCATAAATTAGCACATGAGAATGTGATACAATATTTTTCAAATAATCCAATTTGTATATATTTTCAATATCTTGGAGATACTCTGAAGTGAGAACTTTCGAATTTACTTCGTATGGTATGCCACGTTTTTTTATTTTTTCCTGCAAATATTAATACGATAGAAGATGACAAAATATTCTTTGAATACATATAGAGAAAGAGGAAAAACAAACAGTTACGTGTATTATCTGTATTAATAAACTGAAATTACCATAACTGCATCCACAGGTAAGTCCAAATAAATGATTAAATGAGGCCTCAACATCTGTGACTTAGCGATGTTTACGATATCGTTGTAAAATTTTAATGCCTCTGAACGCATGTAACCAGCATTTGTCATCGCTTTTACGAATAAATAATCAGTATAGAAAGAACGGTTAAGCACCACTCCTTGGCCAGTCGAGAGCAAATGCAGTAGAGCAGTGATGTACTGATCAAATTTAAATTGAAAATAATGAAATTGAAACATGGGCACATTGAGATGATAGGGATCTGTCAGAAATTTTTGCACATCACACGATTGTGAGCCCACAGACAATCTGTCGTCCAGCGTACGTATATCATATCCATATTCATTTATATAATACTCATCGAAGGTCGGCGGTGGTAGATAGACCATCTCAAATTCCTCTGCCAACTTCGCGGCTACCTTAGACTTTCCTGCAGCAATCGGACCCTCGACGACGATCACCTTAGAATTTTCATCGCAACGATCAACCATCGGGTCAAACAACTGCGACCAAAATCCATATTTCTTATGCAGATAATCAAACGGTGGAAGTCGTCGTCGATTCACTCGTTTCGCTTTTTGTGTAATGAAGGCCAATTGTATCACATTGCTGGTAGCTGTTACCTATATCCATAGAAATTAGAAGTACAGTGATATTTCACTCTGACAGAATTTATATTCATATACAGGATAAGACATCTAACTTGCACATCTCGAAAAACTTAATAAATATTATTTATTTTTTCCTGCGCAAATATTAATACAATAAATTATAAGTTATACAAAAAATTGTTACATACAAAAGTTGTATAATTTCGGGGGGATCATTACATAATGTAGAAGTTTCTTTTATAAGTAAAGGCGCTTAAAAAATGTCAAGGTCAACTTCGTTTTCTTTTTAATAATATTTATACATTTTTTTGCCACTGTTAATGTGCCCAGTAAACAAAAATAAATTTAAATGGATAGATATGAATTCATTTCGATATTTCCGAATTCGCGCTTCTGATTTTTCGAATCTATTTGAATCCATAAATACATCTGAATTCAATACATGATGAATAGTTCTTTCGTATTTCTTTTTTTTAATTCATTTCAATAAAAAAATAACAAAATTAAATGATTTGTGTTGTAAGTATTCACTTTTGTGCCACTAATACTTAAATAAATTTATAAATCACAGAGAGGATAATTCAATAATCAGTTTATCCTTTCTGCAGTTTATAAATTTATTTAAGTATTCGTGGTACAAAAGTGGATACTTAGAAGAGAAATCACTTGATTTCGATAATCCAGTAGATTAGTGTTTAAAAAATTGAGTAGCTATCTACGCATTATGTAACAATATAGCAGTTATAAACTGCGCTTGGCGTGCAAAATCTTTGTGCATACTAGAACTTTTCTTTAAATATCATTTCTGCAAAGAGTACATAGCATAGAAATAAAAAAAATAGACAGGTGAGAAGTAGCATAATTATTTAAAAAATTGTTAAGAAAATCCAAAAAATATAAAAACATTACAAAAACATAAAAATGTAAAAAAATAATAAAAAACAAAAAGTACAAAAAAACGGGGATGTACTCTCGCCACCTCCTCGTCGGTTATTCCTGTGTTCGGCAAAAAGCAGGATAAGATAGTTTAGATTCACGGTCACCATATTGAATCCGCTAATTTGAATTTTATAATTTTTACACTGGATTTTTTAGAAAACATGAAAAAACCGTTTATTATCTCCAAAATTCAGAATTAATTCTAATACAGGAAGCTAAAATACAAGGAATTAAGTACTCGTACTTATCACTACAAGGGATAGTTTATACCATTGTCAATATAAAAAAATATGTGTCTATTATTTTTGTCTACTCTATAAATGTACCAAGTTTCATTAAATTTGACGAATCACAGAAAGATAATTCCATATGTGAGAACCAGTGTAGGCTTTAATGCTCCTTTTTTCAAGTATTTATTTTCTTTATAGTTTCATAGAGAGATACAATGATTTTTATGGTGAATCTCGTATTAATAATTAATTACCAATATGTTCGTTTCATAAAACGTATTAGATGTCAAAAATGAAAACTGTCAACACTAACCTTACATAATTGCCTAGTAAGGTTATTGTATCCGAGTTTGATGATACCAACGCGAGCAAGTGATGCCATTTTATTGTTATAAGCACAACTTTAAACGAAAAGAAAATTGGATATTACTTGCTATAAATTAACGCGTAAGGAAAAACATCGCTGGATATACTCTTCTCGTTTCTCAATGGGTGCGTTCAGCAGAACGTTTGTTTTGCAACTGTTGTAAGTTTCCTTCGCGCTAATTGGATCATACTTTTAGATCTAGAAGAATGGTCCTATCTCAGCAGACAATCATAAAACGGTTGCAAAACTGTTGAGTCTGCTGAACGCAGCCATTGGCTTAATATGCTAATACGGTTCTCTGATTGGTTCATGCACTAGCTTAAGACCATCTCGAATCTTGAGCAACGTTTATGGATTCCGTCCTTACAGATTTCTCTTTCTCTACAGGATCTCTAGTTTTATCAAAATCACACGAGAGAGAAACATATATGGTATCCTTCTCTAACGTTTACACGTATCTATTGGTTTCACTCATCTATAACACGGTGCAACTAGAAAGGTGAACCCACAGGGTGCGTTCGTTTATGCAGTTAATTGCCTAGTTTACATCGTGCACTTGATACG